CAGCAGTTTGATTGGCTGGGGATGAAGGGATCGACTCAGAAGTTTATTGCTGAGTGTCAAGTTTGTCAAAGGACCAAGGTCCATAGGCATAAGCCTTATGGCCTGCTAACCCCCCCCCCCCCATTCTTGATGGCCCCGGTGAGTCGATTTCCATCGACTTCACGGACATGGGAAAGGTGAGTGAGGGGGGAAATTCACAAGTCATGGTCATCGTGGATCGTTTTTCCAAATTTATGAATTTGATTCCTTTCCCTTCCCATGCCGCAACTGAGCTTGTGATCAAAGAATTTCATCAGCAGTACATTCCGCAGTTTGGCCACCCGAAAACTATTGTGAGTGATCGGGACACCAGATTCATTCATTAGTAAAGATTGGAAGGACCTCACTTCTCAGATCTACAACATTAAACTCAATAAGACTTCTGGTCGACACCCCGAAGCCAATGGATTGGTCGAGGAAATCAACCAAACTGTCATTCAACTACTTTGCGCGTTGATTGTTCCAGATCAGAACGCGTGGGACAAGGAGTTACACAAAGTGAAGGGGTTGTACAACAACTCCATTCACTCCGCAACTGGCATGACACCGAATCAGCTGCAATACGGATGGCAGTTGCGCAATCCTCTCTTCTATCTGTTCCCCGAATGGTCACCTGGTCTGACGCCCCGGCATGCCTGGCTACAATGCCAAGTATGCACGCTTGCTTAAAGCTGATATCGCAGCAATGAACAAGCGCCAGCATGCCATGATCAAACATGCTAACAAGTCGCGCAAAGAAGGGAACTTCGAAGTAGGAAGTTATGTCTGGGTCAAAATGTTTGAGTTTTCTGACGAAGAGGGCGTATCACGAAAGCTTTTTCCATTGTACTATGGCCCTTGGCAGGTTCGTAAGGTGATTGGGGATGATTTTGGTCCTTCGTATGTGATTGACGTGCCTCCTCATCTGCGCACTTATCCGGTCTTTCACGCGTCCAAACTGTTTCCACACATCGATGACGAGACTTTCCCCTTCCAAGATCCTATGATACCTCGTCCTATCGACGGCGGCCATGAGATAGGCAGAATTGTTTCCCATGAAGGAAGAGGGAGGAACAGACAGTACAAGGTTCACTTCCTCTATCACCCGTTAAACGAGTTTTTCTGGATCGACCGAAAAGAGCTGCTAAAGAATGCTCCACTTGTTGTTAACGCTTATGAGCGACAGACCGCTGATGGACAGACTGCTAAGTTTTCTGCAAAACTCACTCCTCACGGTCTTACTAAATCTCTCTTTCTGATCTACGCCTAAGATGCATTTTTTGCCAACTCTCAATGAGTTACTCGCTCGAAGGGACCTCACTCTTGAGAGGGGGGTAGTGTAATGACCCGCCAAAAACACAGACTGAGGAGACTGCTGATTTCTGGGATTTGCCGCTGGAATGAATGCCTTGCTGAGATTCCCGCATTCTGCTGTGGTTTCCAAGTCTGTGTGTGTGTGCGTGCCTGCTGGTTTGCATGCCTGTCTGAGTGCTTGTCGGCTGAGTGTGTGTGGGTACTAGTTGGTTGAAAGGCCCAGCAGGGCCGATACTTACCTGTGGCCGTGACTTTGAGGGTTGCAGTGGGGAAAACACTCAAGTAGGGGGGGCAGGTCCGCGACACTAGCAGCGGGGAAAAACACTCAAGTAGCAGGTAGGCCGGTACCACTCAAGTAGTGGTAGGAGTGTCGGGTACTGGAGGCCGAGCAGAAGAAGACAAAAAGTTGGCATTTTTAGAGGCCCAGTAGCGGTAGGATAGAGGTAGGCCGGTACCGGTCCAAGTAGCCTGAGTCTAGGGCCTGTCCGGACGATAGCAGAGCCTGCAATGATGTTTCCCTCCGAAAGGGAGGAGGTACGGGTTGCTGGGAGGCCGCTCGGCCTAGGAAGTCACCGCCCAAGAGGCCAGTAGGCTGCTATATCTTCCGGAGGAGCAAGTAGCTCCTCCTCATTTG